ATTATTGAAGTATAGTTGCTATACAATATTCTATAAGTTACAGGTGTACAATATAGTGATTCACACTTTTTTTAAGGTTATGCACATTTACAATTATTATAAAATATTGCCTATATTCCCTGCTTTATACGGTATACCTTTGTTGCTTATTTTATACCTAATAGTTTGTAGCTCTTGATCCCTACCCCTATATATTGCCCTTCCCCCCTTCCTCTCCCCACTGGTAACCACTAGTCTGTTCTTTATATCTGTGAGTCTGCTTCTGTTTTTTTATATTCACTAGCTGCATTTTTTAGATTTGACATATAAGTGATATCATATAGTATTTGTTTTTCTCTGTCTTACTTATTTCACTTAGCATAATGCCCTATAAGTCCATCCATGTTGTTGCAAATGGCAAAATTTTATTCTTTTTTATGGCTGAGTAGTATTCTAGTGTGTGTGTGTGTGTGTGTGTGTGTGTGTGTGTATCTCTACACCACGTCTCCTTCATCCATTCATCTGTTGATGGACACTTAGGTTGCTTCCATATCTTGGCAACGGTACATAATGCTGCTATGAACATCGGGGTGCATGTATATTTTTGAATTAATGTTTTGGGTTTTCTTTTTTGGGGATATATATATATATATACAGGAATGGAATTGCTGAGTCATATGATAGTTCTATTTTTAGTTTTTTGAGAAACCTCCATACTATTTTCCACTGCAGCTGCACCCATTTACATTCCCACCAACAGTATACGAGGGTTCCCTTTTCTCCACATCCTTGCCAACACTTGTTATTTGTGTTTTGATGGTAGCCATTCTGACAGGTGTGAGGTGATATTTCATGTGGTTTTGATTTGCATTTCCCTGATGATTAGTGATGTTGATCATCTTTTCATGTGCCTGTTACCCATCTGCATTTCCTCTTTGGAAAAATGTCTATTCAGTTTTTCTGCCCATTTTTTAATTGAGTTGTTTGTTTTTTCTATGTTGAGTTGTAGGAGTTGTTTATATATGTAAGATATTAATCCTTTATTGTTCATATCATTTGTAAGTATTTTCTCCCATTCGTTAGGTTGTCTTTTCATTTTGTCAATGGTTTCCTTTGCTGTGCAAAAGGTTTTAAGTTTAATTATGTCCCATTTGTTTACTTACGCTTTTATTTCCTTTACATTAGCATATGGATCCAAAAAAGTATTGCAGTGATTTATGTCAGAGTGTTCTTCAATTATATCTCAATAAAACTAGAAGAAAAAAAGAATAGTTCTAATAAAAAAATAAAATGTTCTGCCTATGTTTTCCTCTAGGAGTTTCATAGTATCTGGTCTTACATTTAGGTTTTTAATCCATTCTGAGTTTATTTTTGTGTATGGTGTTAGAGAATGTTAGTTGTTGAGTTCAGTTACATATACTTTAATGCTAACCTGAAAGAGAAAATGATGAAACATAAAAATATACCACACTTTTCCCCCTGTTTCTCTCAGCCTATTATATATACCTGGAGATGCTACTTGAATGTTTGCTTCGAGGTTGATTGACCTAATGCCTTCTACATAGAACCTGGACTCTGAGGACTTCTACTCCATAATTACTAATTGGAAAAAAAGGGGAGAGAGAGAGAGTTTGGGGCACTCTATGTTGCTAAGCATGGGCACTGAGCTTATGGAGAAAAAGTAACTACTCACTGGACGCACGAGCCAATATTTTAGTAGGATATTCCCAGCCTGAAACTGCCTTGGGTGAACTATCAGTTCTGTGAATTCAGTCAACATGCTACATTTTGTCTGCAAAGCTTTCTAACATTTTAATTAGTACTTAACATGCCTCTTTTTATTTTCATTTAATGCTTGTAGGAGTCTGTGGTCTTATCACAGGGGAAAAGGAAGGGAAAGATGGCAGTATAAGTTTCTTCCCCAACTCCCTGGTAAGATACAAGCTTCATTAACAGAATGAATGGAAGCTAACATTGGCAACATTTGGACCTGTGAGCCAATTCAGTTTGCTTCAGCTGTAAATTTGGCTTTTTTGCTTCAATATGCACACTTTCATTTTTCATTTCTGTTATTTCCTTTTTTCACATCATTTTTATCCTCACTAGAATATAGTCTACCTTATTTTGTTAATTTATTCATTCTTTTATTAATTTTTCCATCCTTCTATTCATCCATCCAACCATACTAAATACTCACTATTGTGACAGAAGCAGGAGGTACAGAAATGAATATGACATCGTTCCAGTCCTTAAACAGTTCCCAGTTCAGTGAAGAGGAAAAACAAATAAAACCTTCTTTTTCCCCATTTATTTCCTTTTTAATTTTTTAAAAATATTATTCAATCTAACCTCATATTTACCCATCTCGGCTTAACTCAGTGAGTCAGGAACAAAAGAAGACATTTTCTATATCCAAGACTCTTAGATTTAAGTTCAGATAAAGTGCACAAGTTCCTTGCTAAAGGAATCCAAATGTGGCCTCTGGATAATCCCAGATCTTCAAGGTTTCTGGAGTCACCCTTTCACTTGACACTCAAACTAAGTTCCTAATAAACTGAGATCCTATTCTTCATTCCATGGGAAGCTCTGTCTCCCAATATCTCCAAAGACTTTATTGGGAGCTGCATTTCTCCTTATTATGTTTTACTTTTATTTGTTACTCTCTTATGGTTTTGAATCTCAGTACGTATTTTGCCTCTTGTGGTTGACTGATGTCCTCTTTTTGTTCTCCCAAGGTCCAATGCCTTCATTACTCAAAGCACCTTCAACACCAAGCTGTTTTGTACAACCACCTTTTGCTGAAGGCATAACAGAGCAAGCATCATCTTAGAATTTAATATTCTCCATTGGTCTCCCAAAGTTCTGCTGCTGTACCTGTGGGGGGATTCCTCAATTGTTTGTGCTCATATTATGGGCCTTTCCTCCTTCTCTTTAGAGACATTTTCCACTTCCTTCTCTTCAGCATTCAACTTCCTTCCAAGGTCCTCACTTGTAGGCTGACAGAGGCCAACTTCCAATTTCCTACCATGTTATTATGAAGCATACTTTGGTTCTCAGTTACAACTATTGTTCTAGACCATACCTAGTGTCCTTAGCCTTTATAAGTAAAAAATGACCTATCTAGCTGCTTTTTAAGCAAAATAATGAGGTACTTCTAAGATGAATGTTGTATATTTCCAGGAATATCAAAGTTTGTTTCCATTCTTTATACTCTTTTTAGTTTCCGATTATAGTACTATCACACTCCAGCAGATTTACAAAGTGTTTAGAAGCTAAAGATTTACTGAGTTATAAAGATTACAATGAAGAATAATGCAAATACAAAAATCATCATGTAGTTCTTTAAATAATGCTAATAAAAATATTTATAAATGCAAGTTCCAATGACATAAAAACAGACAATTTTTGGTTTCTAAAGTTTTGTGTCTTAGAATTGTGTATATTTAGAAACTATTCCGTTGCTTTGTTTATTCACAGATATTTGTGTAGTTCTTTAAAGCAGATAATCTCAGGCTGAAGTTTTTTTTTTTTTTAGTCTTTTTGTGTATCTCTTATGTATTTGGCGAGATCTGTATATCTCGGCCATTGAAGATCAACCAGGAGAAAAAAAAGAGGTGGTTTCAATCTCTTCTTGAAACTTAGATCTTTTCAATGTCACAGTTGAGATGCAGGATATTAGGGAAGAGCTTTGGGTTTGGGATATACCCTATTATTTCTAAATAATGGCCTCCCTCCACTTAACTGATGACCTCCTCCCCCTGAATAATTCATTTGTTTAGACATTCAAGGAACAGTCTCTTGGTATTCATTAAGCATGCTCAATCTAAGAGCGTTATCAGAGAGCACCAGGAATCTGCCAGCTTCTTTGAAAGCCTCTGGTGCTGACAAATGGCAACAGTGCCATTTACTAAAACAACTGGGTTTCAAGTTTTCAGATCTTTAATATTAAGAAGTATGTGATCCCAAGATAAATAAAGGTTTCAACATATTTGTATTCTACATTTGAGAGTTTGGTAGTTATGGGAACAGAATCGGGGGCAAAACTTATCAAGTTAGTGTCTCAGGTCTATCACTTTGCAATCTTATGACTTTGGAGAAGTGACAAACTCTGTGACTGTAAAAGGTGATGGTGTAGTGTTGTTATGAGTGTTGACATGAGTTAATTACATAAATTGCTTTGAAGAGTGTCTGGCGCTAGTAAGAACTATATAAGTGAGAGCTTTTATTATTATTCTGTATTAGTAGGTGTGTATTCATATATTATTGACCAAAGAAATGTTGAATTTAAAAACAAACCTGCAACTTTATATAACATATTACTTTAACATTTGGAGTTCTTTTTCAGGACAGGAAGAAGACTGCCTTTTAATTTGTTCCTTAACTCTTTCTCTTTCTTCAGTCTCGATGCCTACTCTTCCTAGATTTGTGTTTTTGGACAAGACTGTGCCTTAAGTTGATATAATATAAATGGTAACATAGCTCAATTTTTTTTTTCATGTTCATACCTCATGACAATCTGAACATTATAGAAGAAACCTACAGTTAAATATGGGTGGCTACCAAATTTCTATCAGTGTGGACTGCACCTTATATTTGTGGTTGTAAATCTTGATCTAATATGTGAAGATCTCTAGGATGGTAAAAAATATCTGGAGCCATTGTCTACATTTATTTTGTTTTTCAGCCTGTTGCCCTTTAACATTCTTTTGCAAGGATTTTTATGCTCTTTTCACAGGTATAGTGTCTTACACAAAAGAGTCAAATTATTTTCCAACATAAATCAAAACTTTTTACCTACATAAGCTGAAAACAGAACTTGAAACATATCATCAGTGCAACTCTAATGAATGTTCCCTACACATGTCTTCTTACACTTGAGTAACATGCCAAGTGAAATCTTCAAATATATGTTTATACTTTTTCTACTACAGGGATTGATACATTTAGCTTTGGATTGAAATATATTGTGGTGAGATCACTCTGTGTTTCTTCTTTTATTTCTTTTTTTTTTTTCTCTACAGTTTATTGCTTTTGCTTCTTTATTCTTCATCCTGGTTTCAATCACAACTTTTTGCCTGGAGACACATGAAGCTTTCAATATTGTTAAAAACAAGACAGAACCAGTCATCAATGGCACAAGTGTCGTTCTACAGTATGAAATCGAAACAGATCCTGCCTTGACGTATGTAGAAGGAGTGTGCGTGGTATGGTTTACTTTTGAATTTTTAGTCCGTATTGTTTTTTCCCCCAATAAACTTGAATTCATCAAAAACCTCTTGAATATCATTGACTTTGTGGCCATCCTACCCTTCTACTTAGAGGTGGGACTCAGTGGGCTGTCATCCAAAGCTGCTAAAGATGTACTTGGCTTCCTCAGGGTGGTCAGGTTTGTCAGGATCCTGAGAATCTTCAAGCTCACCCGCCATTTTGTAGGTCTGCGGGTGCTTGGACACACGCTTCGAGCAAGTACTAATGAATTTTTGCTGCTGATCATCTTCCTGGCTCTAGGAGTTTTGATATTTGCTACTATGATCTACTATGCGGAGAGGGTAGGAGCTCAACCCAATGACCCTTCAGCTAGTGAGCACACGCAGTTCAAAAACATTCCTATTGGATTCTGGTGGGCTGTAGTGACCATGACTACCTTGGGCTATGGAGATATGTACCCCCAAACGTGGTCAGGGATGCTTGTGGGAGCCCTGTGTGCTCTGGCTGGAGTACTGACAATAGCCATGCCGGTGCCTGTCATTGTCAACAATTTTGGAATGTACTACTCCTTGGCAATGGCGAAGCAGAAACTCCCAAGAAAAAGAAAGAAGCACATCCCTCCTGCCCCTCAGGCAACCTCGCCTACTTTTTGCAAGACAGAATTAAATATGGCCTGTAATAGCACACAGGGTGACACATGTCTGGGCAAAGACAATCGGCTTCCGGAACACAACAGATCAGGTAAGGCACAATTTCAAATGCATGCCATTAAATACTTTATAGACCAGTATGTCCCTGAAATAGAAGGCAAGCATTCTCATTTTCCGCAAATTTTCATGAGTTTTCCGTTCTACCCCTTCACAAAAAATTTGTTTGTGTCAGGCTTGTAGATAGCTAGATTATAGCTTTTCTAAATGAATCCTAAGTAGAAGTCTGCATAGCTGGCTATAGAGCTCTCCTGCTTTAGTGGGAATGCCCTTTGCTGATGGTACCAATATTTTCTTTTGCCTGTTTGTTGCTTTTGTGCCAATGTTTCTTTGTTTCCCTGCACGATGTGATGGTACGATACTGGACATTTTCCATCCTTCATTCTCAAAATGTTGATCTCCATATCATTTGGCTTGGCGTGTTTGTCTCAGTTTTATCTCTGCCACATGGGGCCATGCATTTTAACCTAATTCACAAGGAGAAGATATGTAAGAAGAACGGACGTTTACATTTCAAAGGCCTAAACACCAAAGAGGTGATATGTAAGATGTCCCTTTTCAAAGTAAATAGCTTCCTCAGTAATATTACGGAGGGTTCATTAAGTTTTCATTATTCTTAAATTAGGATATTTCAGTATAATCCCTTTGGATTGGGTAAGGTGCTATGTAATATAATCAGCCCAACATTATTCAGGGGATAGATGATCTGCTTTGGCTAATCAATGGCAAGATTGAATTTCTCTGTGGATTTCCTTTTTTACGCACTCTGCATTGGGCTTTGTTCCCTCCCAGAACTCAGTTTCAGATGATTTACTGCTTGAATTAGTTGAATTGCTACTCCTCTCTATTGTCATAAATAATCTAGGGTTGATTGTAAACTGACATTCAATTTGCCAAAGTGATAGTCAATAGTGTCATCTCTAGTCTATTATGTCTACTACAGATGAAATATTTTGTAGTTTACACAATTTAGATTTTGTCCACTATGAAAAGTTAAGATATATGCATTCCCTATAACTTAGATAGGTTTGATCTTTTTCTTGTAGAAAAATGACTTACTAGAATCCCATGTGAATAATTTTGTGTTATTTAGAAATAACACCAATTAAACAAAGCAAGCAAGCAAACAAACAAACAGAAAAGGCAAGTGACATTTTCACAGGTTCCCTCCTTAGCTTCCAAAAGTTATTATGGGGTAGATGGAACAAAAAAAAAACTGGCTGGAACTGAACTTCTTTTTAAAAGATTTTATTCGTAGTCCTTATGTTTATTTAGTAGATTGTTTTGCAAATTCTGTCAATATGTATCTGAGAATTGTTATGCCGGGAATGTCTTTATGAAAGATGAAATTTAGTTGGTGTTACTGCTCTCATTAGACTGCGCAGAGCCCGTATGAAGGGCATGGAAATGAGGACACACTCTCAGCCTGGGCAAACATTGGTATAAGTTAGCATCTAGGCTGATAGGATGTGAAAGTCTTTGGCAAGCATATAGAAGTAAACAGTTGTTTCAAGGGCATTTGAGAAGTTGATCTTTTTCCACTGGTATGCTCAAAAATATTATGTCACCTCAAAATAGAGAACTGGACGTGAAGTTTGTGAACTTCAGGATTATTTTCATTACAATTTATTGGGGAAAATTACTTTCAGAAAATAATAAAAGCATGCGTCTTAAAGCACTGCAAAGACAAATATTTACTTAGGAGTTTTTCCTTCAGTAGGCTCCACTTTCAGCGATGCCTATTTGCATTAACTAGATAACATGGCAAAAACGGAAAGATATTAATTTGTGTGCTACTTCATTCTCACACTTATTTTGAATTCACATTAATTTTGTAAAAGTTATTGTCCTATTAGATAAAATCCAAAATGAAGTTAAAATTTCCCAAACAACATTTCTCTCCTTTTCAGTACATTTCCATTTTGCTCCACATAAATTTTTGTAATGAGTGATGAAAATTCTTTTTCTTATCATGATGTGATTATTGTGTTTTGTATATCGAGTGACTGTACTATGGACATTCGGCGTAAACTCTTTGTACTGTCTCATTTCCTCATCCATCACTGTCTGTCAATGGGCATGGTGCTGTGACCAGTGTTATCAGGTGACGACAGTACAGGAAGTGAGCCGCCATTATCACCCCCAGAAAGGCTCCCCATCAGACGCTCTAGTACCAGAGACAAACACAGAAGAGGGGAAACATGTTTCCTACTGACGACAGGTGATTACACGTGTGCTTCTGATGGAGGGATCAGGAAAGGTAGGCATGCATTTAATCAGATCCTAACAGGTGACTTAGCAATTAAATGCTGCAAATATGTGGAGTGCTGTAAAATGCTCTTTCATCATTTTCTAGGAGCGACTGTGCAATCATGGTGCTCTTTTCCTCATCATATCTTCTCTCTTTATAAACATTTAAAAATACATATCATGACAGCCGACTTGATTGTCATATCTAAAAGGCATTTCACCCTTCTTTCTTTTTTTTATATTTTGGTTTTTCATTTGTCTATGGGCAGAATTGTAATGAAATATTTAAAAATTAAGTCACTCATCTAATTATTTTAATACAATGGATTCAGCAGTCTTTAAAAGTTATCTTTTTTCCTACAATGAATTAAACTCACTAATTGACACTATGCATATATTTGATAAGTAATTAATAATTTAAAACAATAATAAAGCTTTTTTCAAAGTAAAACATTAGACGTACTCTAGTTGTCTCTTATCCAGTATTTGGGCAACTTTTCCTAGTGGTTTACCTGAATGTCAAAAGGTTGCTAAGGTACGAGATCCTCAGCCATATAGAACAATATACCCAATCACTGGAAAGGCTACTTGTGTACTTACAAAATGTATTGATGGAATTTTTCTTCAGGGCAGTAATAATTCTAAGTTTATTATTTTTTTAATTGACACTGAACAGTGCGTGGCACATAGAAGATACTCAATAAATATTTGTTGAATGAATACATTGTATTGGACAGACATCTTTGTTAAGGAATATAACAGGGTACTGAAGCTCCACTCCAGCACAGTTTCATTTCCCTAGATTGTGCCAGGTGTCTATGACTATTCCTTAGGTGCTAGTTTTTGTCTTTGTTTTTGTTGTAGTAAATTTTGCGAACCAACAATTGGACCCTTTTCTTCTCCTTAAGAAATAGTTTTGTGACACTTATAACCCACCATTGTCAAAGTGCTGGTATGCTCTTAGATTACCTCCTACTTTGAGAATTCCAGTGGCTTTGGTGTCATGGTTATTTTTCTCTGTTTATTGACAGAATAGAGAAAGAACTACTAATTTCTTATGAAGAAATAATAATTTCTTATGCAGTTGACTGAATTTGAACGAAAAGCCACTCCAAAACTTTCACGTTAGTGCAAGTGCATTTTTAAAATATTGTGCTTATTTGCTATTCATTGCAGTTTCTTCCAATTGAATACTTTACCATTTTAAGCCTAAAATATTTATTTTGTGATGACTACTTTCTTTGAAATAGCTCATTACCCATGTTGTGCTTCTCTTTCATTTCTTCTGAGCACTTTACATTGTTCTTTCTGTCTCCATACCTGTGAGTCACGAAAGAGAAGACAAAGGACTCTTCTTTTTTTCTTTAATATGTAATATTTTAAATGCTTCTTCATTCTAAGAACTTTCAGTCTCTACATCTATCCCTTTTACCAAAATGTATTTCAATCATCTTAATAGATTTATTTGATTTTTTGCTATTTTACATTTAAATACGTTACAACAATTTTTAAATATTTTATAAAGATAGTTAATATTCTGTCATAGTATTTGAGCAAAATATATGTACATATATTAAATAATAATATCTAACTAATAATATAGAACATAGTATTTTAAGTGCATTGTAATCTTAAATCAGTATACATGTATATACATATATACTTATATATGTATATATGTATTTTTATGTAATATGTGGTTAGATTTATGTGCATTTTGAGCATCATTCAATAAAGTATCACATGCAATATTTATACTAGGGTTACATGTTTAAGGATCTAGATAGAATTTTTTTTTCTAGGTTAGAAAATATTTTGAATTTTAAACTGTCAAAGGGGATCACATCTGAAAAAAAGACTTTGCAAATTATAAAGCACTATATAAATATAGTTTTTCCATAAAATAGCAAACTTTCATGAGCAAAGCAATTCATAAGATATTCAGTTTATATGAGAAAACTATACATTCAATCTTATTTCACAAATACAAATTCTATCAGTGAGAACATCTTTGAAAACTCATCTATGAGCTTTTTATTCTTTGTCATTTCTCACCATAATCAACTTCGTTTTCATTCTTGCCCAATTCTTTTGCAGATTTGTGTTCTTTTCCTAGGTCTGATAACATTACTGGCTAATTTCACTTAATCTTCTCAGTGTCTTATTTTGTCATGTCTATTAGAAATCCATTCATTTCTTCTCCTTTTTCCTTTATGTAGATTAGAGATGTCTCCTATTACTCCTACTCAGATATTTATTTCCTATATGATTTCTTCCTTGCCTTTCAAATTGGTTTCTACCCTAACCTGATTTTAGAGTTATGAAAATTCTCCCCTATGTAGATGAGATAAATGACTGGATTCCCATTGTATTATTTTTCTATCAACAAATGTAAATGTAGCTGGGCATACATTAAGAAAACCTGTGGATTCCCTAAAAGAGTAAACTCCCAAAACTTAGAACCTATGTTTTCCTTTATATAGTAGTTTTATGAAATCATTTTACATGAACACAAACATACCCATTGATAGTACATGAATAGGAAGTTTCAATACTGCCCCAAACTAGTATGTGCTCTTAAAAACTGTATAAAGTGTATACCATGTATTGGGTTCAACATTGTTTATTCTCATGAATCATATTTTTAGTCATTCCATTCAGTAGAAGTTTGATAAGGCAAAATTTTATCAAATTTTCTGTTCATAAATGAACCTCCAGAATAAAGGAACAATATATTTATATGAATAACTTATAATTTTAGTAATTAAATACTTGTTACTAAATTATAAGGGAAGCCTTCTCAAATGGACATTGAAATCATAGTTATTAAAAAATAAAAGACCTATAAATAGAATAAATATTTATGTTAATAACTATAATTCAGAAAAGTAAACATTGAGAATGGCAACCAAGATTTACATGTAACTAGCATGATTAATGTAAATTGTCAAACAGATTTTTTACCTTTTTGGAAGTCTTATAGAGGACATGGTGACAGTGAGGACAAAAGGTACATTTTTATAAGGATGAATTTTAGTTATTAACAACCTCTTTGTTTCATACATATTCACTAGTTTGCTTTTAATCAAAGCCAATCAATGTTTATAGTCTAGTTTACATTTTTCGGTTACACTAAAAATCCAAGTCAACTTGTATAAATTATTCTTTCTACAATTCCCAGTTATATTTCCAATCGCATTACAGAAGAGTAGTGATAACTAGCCCTCCAGGCACGTGAAGATCCCTATGTAAGAAAAAATGACTTGCAATTCCTTTTTAATTATTTAAGACATTCTCCCATTAAGTGTTCCATTAGCTACCAAAGGAGAATGAAATATATACCACCTCCCATGCTTTATAGCTCAAAATACTAACAAAATATATAGGCAGATAATTTTCTCATTAGCAGAAATTATGTCCTAGAGAACTTCATTGTAGTTAACGGAGGACATAAATTTCCATCTACAAAATATCAAAGAAGACATCTAATCTGCTGAAAGTTTCTGGGTGTATATGTAGGGAGAGGTTCCTATTATTCCAATCTTACCCCACAGTAGAGCTATTTAGTTTTCCTATCTACAGCACTTTTTCAGTGGAGCTGTCAGAACATTTATTTGCTAAGCTGTATAATATAACTACTTTTTCAGTTAATAGTTGCCTGGCTTTTAAGACAATTTTACTTCTAACTTTATACTAGGTACTCCCTTCCTCATTTACCTGCCTCTAATCTTTTCTAATAAAAAATACTGCAATAGGGCTTCCCTGGTGGCGCAGTGGTTGAGAGTCCGCCTGCCGATGCGGGGGACACGGGTTCGTGCCCCGGTCCGGGAAGATCCCACATGTCGCGGAGTGGCTGCGCCCGTGAGCCATGGCCGCTGAGCCTGCGCGTCCGGAGCCTGTGCTCCGCAACGGGAGAGGCCACAGCAGTGAGAGGCCCGCGTATAGCAAAAAAAAAAAAAAAAAAAAAAACACCCACAAAAAAACAAAAACACAAAGTCTAGCATGGTGACCTACTGGAGACATGAACATATCACTTGTATTTTATCTTTTGTCTCTGATGCTTTTTTTAAAGGAGGTTATAGGGAGGCCCCTAGTAGCCTTTCTCTGTATGCACCTAAGTTACTTCCCATGGTGGGATAATCGGTGTTAGGGAACTATAGAAATAAGTTGCTGATAGGTAAGTTCTGGCCCTGAAGGTAATTTGCATCTACGTTTTCCATGATCTAGGTTTGAGGAACTGGGGTGGATCACTTCTGGGCCAAACCATCACTCTACAGAGACCACATATGTGAGAAAATGTTTTGCTCAGCTACTCTCTGGAGAACTGTATTTCTTGGAGACAGTCCATGGAACACCTGTTGACGGGGTGTTGCTTGAGTAGCTAAGGCAAATCAATAGGTTAGAGCTTGTGGGAAGTATCTTTCATTCTGTAAATTCATGATGATCATGAACAAAAGATTAGAATGCACGATAATAGAAAGAAAAGGTGGATTAAGATCAAATTGTTCTCAATTCCTGGCAGGGGAGAGTCAGCTGAAAATATATAATCAAAATCAGACTTTAATTTACTAAAATTATGACTCAATTTATATTCATTTCTTTTCTTTCTTTTTTTTTTTTTTACTTTTTTTTTTAAATACAAGGGATTAGAAATGGGCATTCATTCTACATCATCTAGATAATGGCATTAAAAACCATTATTTAGGAATCATCCTTTTAACCCCATAAGGCTGGGAGATTAAATATGCTGGAAAAGAGTTGTTCACTTAAAGTTAAGCATGCTTTATTAGCTTAGTAATAATAAAAAGTGAAAAGAGAAAAAATAGCTCTTTTTTTTTTTAAGGAACATATTCTGAAATTTAAAAATATTTGCCAAATTTATATCTTACTTAAGTTGCTTTGCCTAATTCTTAAAAGCTTTCTGATATTGTGTATGCCAAAATTACATCAATACAGACTGTAATCTGTGAACGAATAGATTTTGAAGTATTGCAACAGTAATTTGTGATGGCTGGTTTAATCTTTTGGAAGTGACAACTACAGTGAGCTTCATCTTTTTTTTTTTTTTTTTAGAGTTGTAAATTGTCTCAGTATTGAATTCTTTGTAAACAAATTCTTTGAGCTCAAAAATAGCACTTTTGATTACCCTGCATGATATTGTTTGTCTTTGTCTATTTTCTGGTTGAATTCAACTGATGTGTGTGCATTTTTTCATAAAAGGATATGAAAAATCCCGAAGCTTAAACAACATAGCGGGCTTGGCAGGCAATGCTCTGAGGCTCTCTCCAGTAACATCACCCTACAACTCTCCTTGTCCTCTGAGGCGCTCTCGATCTCCCATCCCATCTATCTTGTAAACCAAACTGCATCAGTCGGCTTAATTGTCTTAATTCAAGTACTGTCTACCCCATAATGGAAATAATTAAACATAGACTTACTCCAAGCTCCATTAATACAGTACCAATCCTGCATGATACTACTATCTGAAGTCAGAAATGCCATTTGGGTAGCCAACAAATCTCATCCTGGCTTTAAATGAACCTTATCCTGGTAGTGCTACTACTTTTCCATATTAATTGCCCTGATCTCCTTTTGCAATAAAATGACAGATAGGATCAGATACTGGCCAGTACCCTAATACCTAAACATATCTTCAGGGAGATATATTTAAACCAGTGTGCTTCCAAATGCCAACCACTTCATGGGAACTTCATTTCTTGTGACTCTCTAAACCATTCTGAAGATGTCTGGGATTCTATTTTGGTTGCTCACAACATGACTTTGGTCAGCTCATTTGCATGGACCATCTTGTCTCTATCACCTGAAAGCAATGTCACAAAGTTCGGGGACCATGGATGGCTCGGGATATGTGTACTTGCATCGAACCATCCTGCTGATGTGAAAGCACTGGTCGACTGTTCTGCATGTTGAATTGTGGGGCATGGAGGGCGAGTTTCTCCCTGACATTTTTTTTTTTCTTATTCTTTGAAAAAAAATATTTGTTTTAAAAGATTTAATTTCTTGATTGATTTACTTTTGTTCCAAAATGCTGTATTGGAGTTCTGAATATCTCTGGTTGTTTGCACACAGATAACTGCAAAGAGGTTGTCATTACTGGTTACACGCAAGCTGAGGCCAGATCTCTTACTTAATGGCTTGGGGAAGGCACAAAACATGAGAGAAAGGTAACTGCCAGCCAGGCTTGCATTGTTTAGATAGGAATTGCTGCTCGGTACTAGAGTCATATATATTTTTTTAAATCCCAGAATTTGTCATCATTTTCAGAGGCAGAGTGCCAAATATCATTCAAAGCTCTTGTCATTTTTACCCCCTTCCTTTATTTTAATTATTAATTTTTTTGCAAACAACAAGGAGCATTGTTGTTCACAGGAAGCTTTCTTGACCAGCCTTAAATTTCTGACTCACAGGATTAATCAGATTTTCAGGCAGTATTTAATCAGGTGCTTTGTCCTGTATGTTGTTCTGTCCGTTTGTCTTAGCTCCCTGTCTTAAGTGTATATGCCATCCGTCTCCATGAAGCACAGAAATGCCTTGATAAGGTGTTCATGATTTTAGTACTGGGTCTTCTCCCCTGCCCCTTGCCTTCTTTGTTACTTGGAACAAGCCTCTCTGCTTGTTCACTCCAATGAAACCCCCAGGGTGTCTTATTCAGTCCAAGTGGAAGAAATTCTGTTTACACATCCCTACAAATGTAATAGCAGTAGTGTGTCTGGTGTACTGGGCATGAGAGGGAGGGAAAATGTCATACTATAAATTGAGAGATAAACAATATTTCTAAGGCATTTAGGATCCTAGAGACTGCTAATTCCTAATGCTCATGTTTATTTTCAGTTAGGAAGATAATTGTCACTTTTATGATTGGCCACATAACAAGTACTACTTTATTTTCCCAAGCCCTAGAGCATGACCTGCATGTCAAAGACCTTGTACAGCAATGTATTTACTCAGACATAAACATCTGATATTTAGAGATTCAGTGATGCTTTTGATAACACCACACATAGAAAATTATAATTACATACAGCTTTATGGTAAAGAAATTAATATACTGTCTGGTGCTGCTGTTATTGACTGCAGTGTTGTACAGAATTTATCATGGATTTTTGACTGCTGAAAAAGGGACTGTGGAATTTAGCCATACCAAGGACTGTACTGGAAACAGATTTCTGCTGCTGAATGTGCCCTGATGTGACCAGGTTGCACTTGGAAGAGATCCTCCCGTCTTCATGAGGCATTAAAAGTTTGTAAAAGAACTGTGGATGGAACTCATTTGGTGCTCCCCATATGAGTGGTCTGCTTGTGGACTGGCCAGCATCCATGAAACAACTGTAAATACCAGCGTGTGTGCATGGATCAACAGCTTTGGCCATCTCACGTCAAAGGAAGCCAAATTCATGATCAACATCTCTGGAGCTTCAAGTAAGGCCCATACCTCTGTGAATTGCCACCTCATGGAGTTGCAGTAGATTGTGCTGTGAATCATAAAAGCAGTGATATTGGTGTAGTATAGGTCTGTCTTAATTTCCCTTATTTCTCCTTCGTTGGTTGGATCCACAAACACTAACTGTATCATTTTTTAATAAACCACTTATATGATCAGCTTGTCAGATTATGTTGTGAAATTTTCGGTGCCTATTTATCAAAACTGACCTATTTTGAATCCCACATTTGTTTAAGTTCTGAAAAATTGTTTGACTTAAAAAACTCACTAATATTACTTATAGTTTAAGTGTTCTGTCATTGTTACCTCAATTACTAATATTACAAAAAATAAAATTCTGGCAATGAGAGTATTTTTTTATTAAATGATCAAGGAACAATGTCAGTATATAGTAGAATATTAATTGAATTATATCCTAAAATGTATATTTTGCATAAAAGAGATATTCTTCAATCAATTACTTTTTTGTGTTTTGTGGCAAATTAAGCTTGTACTTGTCTTTAAAACTGTTGTAGTTGAAACTGTATAAGAATTCTTCATCTTGCTTAATCAGTATTTCCAGAATCTATTAGTTCCCCTGGGATTCTGAATATAACGTATAACCTAATTATGAACCTCTGTATCGTGGACCTTTTGTGAACATCTCAAGGTGCATGCACATCCTTGTTGATAATTGATGGAAATGTAAATAACTGAAATGAAGAATAAAAGGCAAATAAGCTGGGGATAAACTTGAATCCTATCTGATTAAATTCTTCATATTCTTTGCTTGGCTCTTCTCTTTGTTTTGGAGTTTTCAACAGGCTTTACTATTTTTATGCATCATGATACCAAACCTAATACTCATACATTATAAAAAATTTGAGATGAAAGGATTTATAAACATACATAGCTCACATTTTCATTTAAGTCTTAGGCATGTAGCCAGTGTCTTCCTTTACTCAGTGCTTTTTTCTCTTATGATTCGGAAGTGGTAAAATTATGAATTATTATGGTATTTGATTTTTATATGGCATTTTATGACTAATACTGAATTTTCACTTACACTTTCCAACTTAATCATCACAGAGATTCTGGAGGTAAATATTTTTTGTTTTCATTTTATTGGTGGTGAAGTGAAGGATCACAGAGGCAAAACTGTGTCACAGATAATTTCCCCTGTCATAGTTTCTTATGGTTTAAATATTTACTGAGCCTCTTGTTGTAAATACTTATCTTCCAAAGATGGCTTCTGTCTCACTTTTGGGTAATGGACCACTGTTTCAGCAGCGCACCACATGTAGCTGACATTCCATTTGTATTGGGGGGTTATATGTAAATTTATCCTGTAAATTCTATGATGCCAACAGGATTAGAGGAAAGGTAAAATGGAAAAGAGAAATAAGGTTGGGTAATCCAACACTTTCCCATAATGCATCAACAGAATCTTTTCTAAGTCTAGAAGTGCTCAGTGTTGATTATTAAGAGACTATTAAGAAACTGAGATTCAGAAAAGGAAATCTGTCTAAATATAATTACTGATAAAAAGTTTTTAATGATTGTGTCAGGATGTAGGATTTACTGTAAAAAGGGAAAATATGTAGGATGGGGAAAGAATACATTTTAATAGATGATAATTGACATCAAATTTTGATTAAAAAATCAAGCTTAATAGCCATGAATGAAAAGTGAAGATATTCATTTTATCTTTGAAATAAATCACAAGACAGATGAATTGAATAGCAACAGTGAATTTAACTTGGAAAGAGACAATGAATATATTAAAAGGCTATAGTACCAAGCAGGGACTTTGGAGGATTTATAACATGCTTGAAGACATTTAGAGCTAAATGAATCTGTTAAAAAATTGGAATCCTTAGCAGTTTGTGATGATTAAAATATGTGGCTTAAAATTTTCCTTACTGAAAAAAATTGTCATCCTTCCTTCCAATTTCCCCTGCCAAAATTTAATGAATTGTTTAAATACTTGGACACTATTAAACTATAGATTTATACAAATTTTCTCTAACATGGTTGCTGTGTCATTAATATCCATCTTAAATTTTGTTACTTCCTGTTCTCCCTTAAAATAATTGTTTCCATTATTGTCTAAAAATTAAATAATTTAATTGAATTAGTATTACATGATTTCTTTTTTTACTTATCAAACCGTCACGTCAAAGTGACAGATCACTGAATATGCATTTTGAACATTAAAATGTTCAAAGACTATGGATTTTCCATTAAGGATCCCAGATACCTAGCACTCAATTTTTAAGAAATGAACTATATTTTAGAGCAGTTTTAGATTCACAGCAAAATTAAGCAAAAAGTAGAGTTCCCATTTATCCCCTGCCCTCCACCACGCACAACATTCCCGACTATCTGCATCCTACACCAGTGATATTTGTTGCAAGTGATGAACCTGCATTGATGCATCATTATCCAAAGTCCATAGTTTACATTAGAGTTCATTCTTTTTTTTTTTTTTTTTTTTTTTTTTTTTTTTTCCGGTCCGCGGGCCTCTCACCGTTGTGGCCTCTCCCGTTGCGGAGCACAGGCTCCGGATGCGCAGGCTCAGCGGCCATGGCTCACGGGCCCAGCCGGTCCGCGGCATGTGGGATCCTTCCGGACCGGGGCACGAACCCCTATCCCCCACGTCGGCAGGCGGACTCTCAACCACTGCGCCACCAGGGAAGCCCAAGAGTTCATTCTTGGTGTTGTACATTCTATGGAACTTGATAAATGTCTAATGACAGGAATCAATTATTGAAGAATAATTTCACTGCCCTAGAAATCCTCTGTGCTCTAACTATTTACCCCTCCCTTCATCTTGGCAACCACTAATCTTTTTATTGTCTTCCTGGTTTTGTCTTTTCTAGATGTCATACAGTTATAATCATATAGGATGTAATCTTAGATTGGCTTCTTTCTCTCAGTGGTTCACACTTAAGGTTGCTCCATGTTATTTCATGGCCTGATAGCTTATTTCTTTTTAGTGCTGAATAATATTCCATTGTCTGGATGTACCATAGTTTATCCAGTCACCTACTGAAGTTGCTGGGTTGCTTCCAAGTTTTGGCAATTATGAATAAAGCTGTTACAAACATTTGTGTTCAGGTTTTGTGTGGGCATATGTTTTCAATTCATCTGGGTAAATACCAAGGTTCACAGCTGCTGGTATTTACACTCATTTTTTTTTTTTATTTGGTCCCCTGACATATTTATCAGAACTACTTTTCTCCTAATTCATCTTCTTACTGTCAATCATGTGAACCACACAGGAGTTATTTATAAATCTGTCACTTCACTTCAAGCTGTAAATATGTTGATTGATTATCCACCAACAGATTTTTCTCTGTAAAAGTAATTTTTTTTTACAAAAAATAGTAAAAGCTCTTATAGAAATCAAAAAAGTTTAAAAAATTAACTATAATTCCATAATTTTCCACTCCACAAATCAAATGTTTTTGTTTTATCCATTTGCCTTTTTTCCCTTTTGTTATTTTTCACTTTATAATACTAATGTGTGTGTTCGTGTGTGTGTGTGTGTGTGTGTGTGTGTGTGTGTGTGTGTATTTAACCTATCATTCAAGTCATGCTGCAATTTGGCCTACTACCTTTCTAGCCTCTGTTCATTCTCTCTCATGTACAGTGTTCTAACTATGTGCATGTTCATGGAAACATCCCAGGGCAACACAGATGAGTAAGACATCATTCCTAGCATTGAAAACTTCATCTACTATGTTGATCTCTAATTCTGGCTCTGCATCAGAAAAACTTTTGGTGTCCTTTAAAAAAAACTAATGCCAGCGCTCAACTCTAAACTTTTGAAATTATATCTGGAGATGAGTCCTAGACATACACTGTTTTTAAAAAAGACTTAGCATATATATTACTAACAAATGTAACAGAACAAACAAAAAATTAGCATGAATTAAGCTATTATAGATTTTAGAAATATCATGCCCCTATTTACTGTACAGCTAGTCTTTTACTAGCAGACCAACCAAGTACTTCCTCAGGAAATTCTTCTTTTTTTCATAGTCCTTAAATGTGATTCCAAATTTGAGGAGCCATTTTAAAATATTTTTGTGCATGTATTATAAATCCATAGAGCTTAAATCTTCATTTCTCAGTATATTTCTTATAACAAAAAATGATATAAGGACATACCATGTAACTCAAGTAACTTATTTTTGAGGGAAACTCAATTTTTTTCATCTTTGTTATAAATTTGATAAACACTTAGACTTTTGTCTATGAGCCAGGAAGAGTTGTCGTCACACCAAAATGATTAAAATTTCTTTGGCATTAGTGAAAAATTCACATTTATCTTAGGAGTGGTGAATAGTGACATGAAACAGCTGGCATATGAAAGGATTCTTAATGTAATTTGAAGGTGGTAGTTTCTGAAACCTTTGATGAAACCTTTCTTTAATCAATGGGCTCAGTGTTTTTATTTCCTTTTGAGATCTGTTAGCAATGAACTGAACTCTTATTTAACACCAATTCTTTCTTAATGGCCAAGAGAAAGTATATTACTTAAAGATATGCCTAATTTTCTGATCAAAAATAAAACAAAACAAAACCTGTCATTTTATTGCAAAGGATTAAGCATGAAGTCAGTACCTAAGGACTGAATGTATATTTCTTTATTTTTTTCTTTTTTTCCCTGAGAGCTCACATTTTACCAGTAATTTGGTCTCTCTGGAAACAAAGGGCACTAGTTTAAACACTCTACAATGATGTTTACTCCTGTTGCAGTAGCTGTTCCTTATCACACTGGGTGCTGGCAGGAAGATTAAAAAAATCATGGGAATTCTGGACAGATGGCTGATAGAGAGCATCAGAATCTAAGATAGTAATGATCAAAACACACACGTATATACCGCTGGATATTCAGAGACAAAGAAAAGCAGCAAACGCTGAATATTGCCTGAAGCAAGGTCATTTACTGTGAAATAAACAAAAGGACAAGTCAAAGGTAAAGGAATAATTATATAATTCTGCTTCATAAGCCATGTTAGAATAAATTCTGCACAAAAGGACCAGACATTCTTTTCACTGGAGACCTTGAAAGGTTTGCATTACATCACAGGGGGCTAGAGAAGCGACCATCAATTTTCACACTCCCTAACGAAGAATGAATTTAGACAATTTTTTCTTAGATGCTCTGTTTTGATTTGCTTCTTTCAGTTTTGACAAAGAAATATCCTTTCTTTACTTTTACATTAATGTTAAGGTTAAATGTTTTCAGAACCAACTGATGACTGTCAAAATATAAAATATCGCTAGCTTTATATTTGTTTTGATTTGTGTAAAATGTATTTGTACAAGTTTTAAAAAATTTATTATAAGAGCACCACGTGACAGAGTACTACTGAGAACACACTGCCTTTTAATGTGAAACTCCTTAATGACACAAATGAGATTCCTAGGAAAAATATCATTATAAGGTTTATTTTCCAAAATTAAATTTCTTCAGGCTCAGATTTACCTACTTGTTTTTAGAACTGATAAAGCATAACAACCATAACATTGAGTGTCAAAATATTACGGGGAAATAAGATTCTTTGCCTTTAATATCATCTTTTCTTGGCACCAAATGTTCTTGTATTGACATGCAGTGTGTTGGACCTGTGGAAAAAGGACACACAGAATTACTCCTTAGAAAGCATCTTCTGACCCAAGTGGTTCACTTGAGATCCACAGGCAGAAACTCCTACAGCCTCACACCATTGAATAATCCTTCATCCAACTAAACTAGGTTTAACTCTGAGACTG